TTCATTAGATCCTATATTATGCCAGTGTTACTTTTTATTACTTAAGGAAAAAAATAGTTGCTTAAGTTTAGTGTCTATACACCTATATGCAGCTACTGAATATGATCTAAGAAAAAGACTGTCAAAACAAGGTTGCTCAGGAAAAGCTGTCTTAAAGATGACTGGAGAATAAAGATATGTTCTTTTGTGGATTGTTCCTGATAAATAGGGATTTGGATTTACTTGTATTTGCTTCTGGGACTGTTAATTATTCTATTGCCAGCTTCCTCTGTTACACTTGAATTACCCACCAAATTTGAACTTTTTATTCACTATTCAAGTGAAGGAGGTAATGCCATACAGTTAGAGTTGTTATAATACAACTCTGCTACATACAGACATAGGAAACTGAAAAGTAACAAGCATTGCAAGGATTTAGCTCTGTACTCATCAAGACTAAACACTGTAAGGAATTAGCCCTTTATGTTCAGAGGAATATGAAAAATGCAGATTTTATGTGGGCAGAGCACACACACAACCAGTGACATAAATGTGCACAAAAAAATCCCTCAATTAAAATTTTAAAAGCCAACTATTACAGGAGCTTGACCACTACAAATCAACAGGCCCTGGCAATATCCACTCGAGGGTGTTAAGACAGCTAGTTGATGTCATTGAGAGACCGCTCTCCATAATCTGAGAAGTCATGGAGATCAGGGGACATGCCAGAAGACTGGAAGAAGGCTAGTGTCACCCCCCATCTACAAGAAGGGCTTAAAGGAGGATCCAGAAAATGATAGGCTCATCAGTCTTACTTCAGTCCCTGGGAAAGTTACGGAATGAATCCTCCTGGGGGCTATCACAAGTCAAATGAAGCACATGATTGGGAAAAGCCAGCACGGATTCACCAAGGGCAAATTGTGGTCGACAAACCTGATCGCCTTCTACAACAAAGTAACCTGCTTGGTTGATGTGGGGCGAGCGGTGGACATTGTCTACCTGGATTTCTCCAAGACTTTTGATACTGTTTCCCACAGCCTCCTCCTAGAGAAATCGATGCCTTACGGTCTAGACAAGTGGTCTGTGCAGTGGGTGGGGATCTGTCTGACAGGCCACACCCAGAGGGTGGTAGTAAATAGCTCCTTTTCAAACGGGCAACCTGTCACAAGTGGGGTCCCCCAGGGACTGATATTGGGCCCAATGCTCTTTAATATCTTCACAAGTGAGCTGAACGACGGGATCAAGTGTACCCTGATGAAGTCTGCCAATGACACCAAACTGCGTGGGCAAGCGGACACTTCAGAAGGGAAAGCCACCCTGCAGGACAACGTGGATAGGCTGAAAGAGTGGGCTAACAAGAACCTTACGAAGTTTAATTATGACAAACATAAAGTCTTGCACCTGGGAAGCATAATCCAGGAGTGCAGCATAGGCTGGAATCTACCCAGCTGGTGAGCAGCTCTGTGGAAAGCAACTTGGGGCTCCTAGTGGACAACAAGCTCAATATGAGCCAACAGGGTGCTGCTGCGGCAAAGAAAGCCAACAGAATGCTGGGTTGCATCAATAAGGGCATCACCAGCAGAGATAAAGAAGTCATTACCTCACTCTACTCAGTGTTTGTCAGGCCACACCTGGAATAGTGTGTTCAGTTTTGGTCCCCGCTATGCAAAAAAAGATGTGGACACGCTGGAGAGGATCCACAGAAGGGCCACAAAGATGATCAAAGGACCAGGAGGCCTGCCATATGAGGAAAGGCTGGGATTGTTCAGGCTTGAGAAAACAAGGCTGACAGGAGACCTTATCACCATGTTCCAGTATTTAAAGGGTGACTACAGAGAAGATGGACACTCCCTTTTACAAGTCGTCACATGGAAAAGACAAGGGATAATGTGTACAAGTTACTCCTGGGGACATTCCGATTGGACACAAGAGGAAAGTTTTTCACAATGAGAACAATCCGCCATTGGAATCTCCCCAAGGAAGTGGAGTATTCTCCAACATTGGACACTTTTAAGATTCAGCTGGACAGGGTGCTGGACCATCTTGTCTAGACCATGATTTGCCAAGAAAGGTTGGACTAGATGATCCTTGAGGTCCCTTCAACGTGGTATTCTATGATTCTATTAATTAAATACATGCATTTTTAAGAAATAATTTGTCATTTTTCAATGAGAATGTTTTGGTTTTAAACAGGGCTAATGCTTTGTGTAATTATTTGATTTGAAGCTCTGCTAGGAAAATTTACACAAGGCTAACTTACACAACTTAAAAAGGAACTTATCCTTTCTTGCCAATTACAAGTTCTCAATAAATTTACCTCTCTTGGTGATAAAATTCTGTTGATCATTTTTTGCCAAGTCAAAAATCCTCTGATGCCCATTTTTATAATTAAGTTTCTAAAATTAACCTAAAAAACACTGTGATTTTTCATCTTTGTAGCATGACCATTGCTAATGACTTTGTGCAGCTGAAGCCCTGCTTGTACTCATACTGATAACATTATCTTAATTTGTCCTCGACATTAAAATAGTACTACATAGTAACTGTTAATCTCCTCTCTCTCATTCCCAATGCATTTAAACAAACAAACAAAACCAAACAAGCTTTAAAGCATTTACAGTCCTGCACAAAAGCAGATTTTTTCCCAAACCTGAACAATCCTCTGTAAACCCTCTGATCATTTTTCCTGTTTGCCAAGTGGGATTCTTCATGTTAAGTGTGGACACTTTGCTACAAATCAGTTTCCTCCCCTTCCACCCCAAAAAATGTTTCACCCAAATAATTATGACTTTCAGAAAGTATTATTTTACTAGGACAGTATACGCACAGCCCAAACTAAGGGAGGAAGGAGATTATACAATTCTTACCTTATATTTATTTTTCAAACAAAGAATAACAGCAGTGAATGGCAGGTTAGACACAAAGTGAGAGCAGAGACGAGGTAAATAAACACAGAATCACAGGCGGAGAAACAAGTAAGAAAATGTAAAGGAAGAAAGAGAACCCAGGAATGGTTTTAGAAGACTGTATTTTTCAGAAGTCTACAAGGAATTTTTGCATACAGAAAAGTCCTAATCATAGGAGGAATCCAGGAAACTAAACATCTGCTCTTCAGAAATGGTTTAAGAAAAGCTCATCAAGATGCATAACTAAAATGAGTTAACAAAAAGCTTCTATTCCTAATCTGACATGTATTCCCCACAAACTATTACTTTTAAAGCAGCTGTCCTAAGTCACAGGATGACTACACTTCCAAGAATACCAAAGTCATTTTTGGTGACTATTACCATGCCTACATTTGTAACTCCCACTTACGGTGAGTGGCTTACTCAAGCTGAGTATTATCTTACTCAAGTCTGGAAAATCAACAGTCGTTTAGGAAGTCTGAAATGCACTGTAGTTTAGTAGTATTGCTTCAGTGCTCCTAATGGGACAAACAATAATTTTGTTTTTCCAGAAGCATTAACAGATACTAGAATGTTTTTCCACAGACTATTTAGTCACAGGTCTAGTGACTAAATTTAACATGTTTCTGCGGTTTAACTACAGTAGGTAGCTAAACACCATGCAGCCGCTCACTCACTCCCTCTAGAATGGGATAGGGGGAGGGAATCAAAAAGGTAAAAGTGGGAAGACTCATGGGTTGAGATAAAGACACTTTAACAGGTAAAGCAAAAGCTGCACATGCAAACAAAGCAAAACAAGGAATTAATTCACCGTTTCCCATCTGCAGGCAGCTGTTCAGCCATCTCCAGGAAAGCAGGGCTCCATCATGCATAACAATTACTTGGGAAAACAAATGCCATCACTCCGAACATCCCCCCTTCCTCCTTCTTCCCCCAGCTTTATATGCTGAGCATGACATCATATGGTATGGAATAAGCCTTTGGTCAGTTGGGATCAGGTGTCCCAGCCATGTCCCCTCTCAGCTTCTTGTGCACCAGCCTTCTCGCTGGTGGGGCAGTGTGAGAATCAGAAAAGGGCTTGAAGCTGTGTAAGCACTGCTCAAGAACAACTAAAACATCCCTGTGTTATCAGCACTGTTCTGGTCACAAATCCAAAACACAGTACCATATGAGCTACTATGAAGAAAATTAACTCTATCCCAACCAAAACCAGTATGCACTTTCTATTTTCACAAAATTATTTTAAATAGTTTAAAAGATATACATACGGTTAAATTGATCCTTCCTGAAGGACATTTTCTCTTTCTTAAACATAACAGAAAAATCACTAGAAAATTTATTTAACAATAAGGGCTAACAAGTGGAACACGTCAAGGTTAGTTGTTCAAATAAGCTTCAGTAGGACACCCTGCCATAAGACCCTTGACTAACTTCCATATGTATCATAAGTTTTGGGAGAAAAATACAACTAATTAAAAAAAACAACTATAAAAGATAACATACAAGAGCCCTTTGGTGATGTCCAAACCTTTACCATATTTGAAAGCTGCTTTAAAGAAAATATGTTTCTCTTTTTCTGTACTGTTTAACAGCTCGCTCTTGTGACCACAAATTCCTAGCTGTCAACAAAGACTTCTCCTTTTCCGTAACATATACAACATATTCCTTTGTTACGTATTTGCACTACAGCCAGTGTAAACAGAACAGCCTGCTGTTGAGGACTTAACAGAGGACCAGTGGCCTGGAGCAGCCTAACAAGGAGCGCTGTGATACTCTGGCAACAAATACACCACTTACAGGCTAACTTCTCCATCCCTTCTCAATTTCATTGCCTAAATAGTTCAAACGTGCTCTAGACATGGGAAATTTTCCAACAGTGTTTAGCAGACACTTTCAAACTGCCATCTTTTCTTGAGCAGGTGGAAATAAATCAACACCTATTATAAGGCTGCTTTCAATCTTAATCCTGGTGCATTGCTTGTTATCGAGCTACAAAATACTCAAACATTTTTGGTATTTAAATTTACACTGAAGCTCTTACGTATACAAATAAGATTAAAATAGAAATGAGAATCAATAACTAATGATAAAAGCAATAAAACCAAAAGTACTTACATTAAACTTAATAATGTCATATATCAAGTACCGAGGGACAACCTGTCCATTAACCTTGTCGATGATCATTTCCTTAAAAGAAAAGAGATGACATTTGCATTTATTTCATCAATATAGAAGAACGTCAACACATTTATACTTCATGCACATACCTGTAACCGTGACACAATCAAACACTGGCCACTTTTTATTATCAAAAAGATTTTACAATAGGTCAAGATTACAAAAAACGATTACTATGGTCCTAAATGCCTCTCATGAAGCACTCAGTAAGAAGCCAGGAAGCTGTACTAAGGCTCCACATTCCGATATGCAACATTTATACATTAGTTACCCCACAGCTTTCAAAATGACTACCCTTCTTGAGTGAATAATGAGTTTTCAGAAACCTCAGTAAGAACTATAATCCCAAGTCAACCAAGCACTTTTGGAAATCTCGCCTACAATAAGAAGTACAACAGCAAAGAAGTAAAGAACAAGCATTAAAATCCGTTTTCTATGCTCAGGTTGGATCTTTTCACATTAACAGCATCCTAGGTAGCTGTAATTTGCTTGAATGTTGCATTGTGACTAAACAGTAGGGTTCCCTCAAACACAAATACCACAGATACTATCTGCATCACATGAAATTAGTTAACATTCAATATACACTGGTAAACAATCTTGAAAATAGGTCAGCTAGAAGAAAAACTATTAACAATCAACATCCAAACACGAAAGTGTTTCCTGAACCCAGTGGTACATACAAAAATATATACATCTTACATGCTGGTGCTTACATTTGTAAGTCAGGCTTCCTACGACATGAATTAGACATAGTTCGTTAGTTTGATAAATTAATAAAAATATTTAGTTTCATATAAATTAGTCATGATTGAAAATGGTAACAGTCATCCAACTGGCAGATCTTTGTCAGAGACAACTTTGAAATATTAACTTCTCTAAATGCAATCAATCTTCTCCCTGTCCCCCTCTCCCTGCCCAATTCTTGGCTACTTAGTTGTATCAGCTAAGGATGTTTTGCTGTCAATATCAAGTTAAAATTCCAAATTCATACATGCAAGATAAAACAATTGGAAAAGGTGAAAATATTTCACTATAGCGTGATGAAAACAAAATTGTGAGCTGAAGAATTACTGCAAAAGAGAAGCTTTTTGGACATCAACTCAAATTAATCTTGCTTAGTTTGTTTCTTGCTAGGTCAGTAGCATTTTTACCTTCTACAACCTTTTAACTTCTCTTGGAATCCATAACTTCTACGAAGTAAACTCAAACAAGAGTCTCAATGCAAGATTGATTTTCAGTCTGTACACGTACCAAGCTTCTTGAATTGTATCTAGTGTTTAATCACATTTGGTTTTGAAAAATAAGCAAGCAGTTGTAAAAACATTGATTTGTTTTAAAGCAAACACAAAGCTTGAAGCATTTAAAACTAAACTAGAAGACATGAACCTCTTGTTCTCAAAAAACCTATAAGCTGCCTACTTAATATTTTGGAATCTCATCTTCTGTGAACCCAACACTGAGATGGAGATTGGGCTTTCACTGACAAATGCAGTGTTCACAGGTGTTGTGAATGACTACCTGAAGTGACCTTACACATCTTGCCAGATCTTTAAAAAAAAATTAAAAAAAAAAAAAATTCAAGAAGTGAAAAATATTCCTTTGTAACATTACAATACCTTATTCTTAACTTTAAATACCATTTAGTCACAGGTACTCTCAAATAACATTTGCAAATAGTCTACATAGAAGTGATCTAACAAAACGCCATTCTATTATTTTCCAACGTTTAGGTAAGACAACAGTGAGCTATCAAAGCAACAGCAGATGCAATACTGTAATGCCTTCTTTGACAGTAAGTTTTATAACTAATCACAAGAACAGATAGAGTAGGTACATCCTAAGAGGGAAAGAAGGCATGATGTTCAAGCCTGGAAGAGTGTGTAAAGATAAAATGCAAGGGGGAAGGGAAAAAAAAAAAAAGAAAAAACCCATCTGGAATTCCTGATAGTTATCAGGTGAAATGAATTAACAAAGTAAAACTGAAACAAAAGAACACTACCATATTTCTTCACAGTTTCAATTACATTACAAGGTGAAACAAATTTTTAAAATACATTTAATTGAACATATATTTAAGGTTTAAGGACTCAATTCCTCAGCGTGCATACTCAGAGCCTCAGTTTTGATGCAAAGCTAGCATTTGTATGCAAAACTCTGAAAACTTTTTGACACCTGGTATTACAACATTTTATGCCTAATTTTCAGGATCTGAACCTCTGGATATTCAGTTTAAGAAGAATTACAAAATACAGCCAAGAGGACCACGAATGATTTTTATACCTTCTCTGGAATGTTCAGTTTTAACATAGAATTCATTTTATAAAGAAACTTCTTCTCTACTTCAGACATGTATAAGTCTTTTTGACTCTATTACTGGTCAAACTAGCCTCTTTCTTCACAGCCTCACTTCTTTTCTTCCTCTCCTGCCTCTTGTTCTCTTTTCACATCCTGACTGAAATCCCAGCTACCAGAGCAAATAAACAAATATGCCTTAGCAGTAGAGATGACAAATTCCTGTGCTGCTCATCTCCATCACAACAGCAACAACATTGACTGCTCCATTAGTTACACCAATACAACTGTCATAAGGCAAAAGCTGTAAAGTGATCATAAGAATGATTCAGATTAGAAATACTCTAACACATCATTATTTAACAGTCTGATTTCAGAATCTTCCTTGAAATTATGAGAATTGAAAAATACCTCAGGGAACAGACCTCAAAGACTAGTTCATAGACTGCAGAAAAAATGTAGTATTTGAGAAACCAATCACATTCTAACTCACTCATTCTGATCTGAGTAATAACCTGATACCATAAGGCTATATTTACGCCAATTTTTAAAAAAACTAAAAACTTAAAACCTAAAATCACTCACATGACATGATAATAGAATAAAAAGTATCCATAAGATGTACCTGCATCCATGCATTTCCTTTTACAGACCCCATGTAGATTTACAGCCACGGTTGTGTGTTTTATAATTACCACTGCTAGTAAGTATGATTTTTACCACTTATCCATTAGCTTCTAGTTTAGGTATTAGCTTAATCTGCAGGCTTGCAGAACAAGGTCCATGGCCAGTTTCTCCAATGCAATCTGGCAAAACTGTGCTGGTGTTAAATGTCCTTTTCTTAATCTTCTGAAGCTGCAGAACATAGTCTTACAGCTTATTAGAAACAGTAACTGTGCTAAGCACTTTTATCTGGACAAGTACCAGAAGAACAATGCTGGACCGACAGCTCATGGACTTTTTCTTTTTCCTTGAATCACATATCTAACAAGCAAGTTGGACTTAAAATAATCCAAAATTTAATCACAAAGCAAAGGATCTCATTTTACCGGCCACTTGCAGAATCTATTTTTCTTGACACAGAGTATGGAATCAGACTTAATCACACATCAGTTTATTGTTCCTTTTTATTCCTCCATTGCCTTGCCTTTCCTTTGTCCGTTTACCTTCAACACAATTCTAGCCATTGCTGTATTTCAGGAATTAAAAGACAGTGCCTTTTTTTATTATTATTATTTTGCACAAAGTGCCAGCTTTGCAAACTCAGAAAGTTTTAAGTTATGCCATTTCTGAGAGACCTTACAAGTAAGTGAGGTCTGTACTGATACAAAAACATAAATCTATCTCAATTTCACTCTCTACTTTTGGTGTCCTTGGCCATCCTAAGTCTTCAAGTGTGAGCTATATTTTATATACAAATAAAACAAAATATACACAAAATTGTATTAAAATTGTAAAAATTATGTAAAACCTAAGAATGCCTCGGCACTTTCTGCTCAACTGTTCCCAAGCTAAGCAGTTCCAGACCTAAGAAAGTTCCTGAAAATAACTAATTAGTTTTCTTGCATGACAGCCAAAACACTTGAACAAAAATCTATGCATTCCCTCAGATAGCAGTATGGATGCAAATCGCTTGGCTTCTAAAGGAATACTTCATATTACACAAGTGACCTGTAGGTAATACTCAAATTAGCTTTAATAAGCTTTGTAGAAAACTTTCTTCCATTGCAGGAGAACAATCACAACTGAAGAGCTGGAGATGAGCATATGGAATATTGCAGGAGATCTCACATCACCCAAGACATAACTGATCATAGTAAGAACTGTTTGCGAGTAATTTCAGCCTGAAGTGAACCATAAATGCATTTGAAATTCTCAAAGACAACCACATGAAAGGCTTACACCAGAAGCCTTAAAGCAAGTTAATAGATCACTGAATTCACAGAAACTACCTTTATGAAAGTTTTATATACACTGTCATTCTAAATAAAGTTAGGGGAAACTACTTAATCTTTTGTATTCTCAAGACAAGTAGTTGTTTTGCTGCATGGCACCGATATCTCTCTTTTATCTTTCCTTCTTTCTCATACTTTTTAAGATTACTGTAAAGCAATGCAAATCAGGACCTCATTCTATACTTCCATTCTCTGAAAGAGAGAAACCTACTTCAAGGGCAATAAGTATGAACTACTTCAACCTCTAATTAAAGAATTAACTTCAACAGCCCATCAGCACTAATTAGAAAAATATGTTAATACAAAAATAAAAAAGCCTTTCCCCACCCCCCCAGGGATCTAAAAAAAAAAAAAAAAAAAAAAAAAGAGAAAGAAATCATGCATATATCCAGAGTAAAGGAACAGTCATGGAAATTATCATTTGTCACCAACATTAAACAAATACTCAATTACAAAGTTAAACGGTTCTGATGCTTCAGATAATAGGCACATTTCCTCTCAACAGGTTTGCAAATAAATTTCAACTGAAAAGAAAAATATTCCATCAACAACCTTTTTTTTTTTTAACTGACCATACCTAAATAAATATTGAAATCCATACTATGGAAAGTATTTATCCATTGAATGGTTTTAGTTTTATCTCAAGGTACTTCATTCAATGAATACTTGTTCATTTAATGTCATTTTGCTTTCCATGTCATGAAAAAACTAGGAGAGGGTGGAAATCACAGCAAGACTAACTTTATGCCAATAAAGTGAAATAATGAAATGCACTATAATTGTCAAAATTTTACAAAACAACAAATTAAGTGAAGTTATAGATCATGTCTTGGGTAACTGAAAAAAATTCATTTATTTTTAAGTGACTTAAAACTATAAATCTGGGAAACACAACACACCAGATCAGGGCCCCTCTCCCATGCCCCACAGTCATACTTATGTGCATCCCTGTCTTCCACCATGTACATATCATAAGTTGATCTGCTGGAGGGTAGGAAGGCTCTACAGAGGGATCTTGACAGGCTGGATCAATGGGCCGAGGCCAATTGTACGAGGTTTAATAAGGCCAAGTGCCAGGTCCTGCACTTTGGCCACAACAACGCCATGCAACGCTACAGGCTTGGGGAGGACTGGCTGGAGAGCTGCCCGGAGGAAAGAGACCTGGGGGTGCTGGTTGACAGTCGGCTGAACATGAGTCAGCAGTGTGCCCAGGTGGCCAAGAAGGCCAACAGCATCCTGGCCTGTATCAGGAATAGTGTGGCCAGCAGGAGTAGGGAAGGGATTGTACCCCTGTACTCGGCACTGGTGAGGCCACGCCTCGAATCCTGTGTTCAGTTTTGGGTCCCACACTACCAGAAGGACATTGAGGTGCTGGAGCGTGTCCAGAGAAGGGCAATGAAGCTGGTGAGGGGTCTAGAGCACAAGTCTTATGAGGAGCAGCTGAGGGAACTGGGGTTGTTTATCCTGGAGAAGAGGAGGCTGAGGGGAGACCTTATTACTCTCTACAACTACCTGAAAGGAGGCTGTAGCAAGGCGCATGTCAGTCTCTTCTCCCAAGAAGTAAGTGACAGGCAAGAAGAAACAGCCTCAAGTTGCCCCAGCAGAGGTTTAGATTGGGTATTAGGAAAAACTTCTTCACCGAAAGGGTTGTCAAGCATTGGAATAGGCTGGGCCGGGGGGGGGTGGGTT